ACACACACACACAAACACATAAACAGACCCCGCCGAGGCACATGAAGGAAGTCTTTTTGAGTTCATGATGAAAGTTAAAACGCTTAAGTGCAAACATGACTTCCAAAAACCATTAATTGACGTATTGATCCGTAACGCAACTCACTTCCCCGAGTCGGACTGACCATCTGCCCTAATCGGGGCTTTTACCAGTTAAACGTCTCACATCACCTGCTGACTGAACATCAATTAACGCATCCAAAATGAGCCACACTGCTGCAAACACTGAGGCCTGTATGCATGAAGGCTCACACTCTAAAGCTACAAATCTAAAGCCACAAATCTAAAGCCTTAAAATGAAAATACTATTTCACATTACCACAGCTTTTATAAGGTTTTTTCCTACAAAGTACATTCCCACTGTACATTTCTTTGAACGTTTTGTAGGTCAGGAGGCAGGGAGGGGAAGTACACAGTAACCTTGTGCAAAAAAAATGTGTGGACGCACACTGTCTGACCTCCCAGAATTTATCTTTGCAGGTTATATCAACAAGCGCAGAGTTTACAACCTCGTCGGCTGCGTGAGTTACCGTCTCAGTCCTAGAGATCGGCCCCCAGGTCTGGAGGCAGCCGCTGGTCTTGAACTACTGAAAAAATTACACTTAACTGCTGAAAATGGTGCTTTTATTTATCTTTGCACACTCAATGGACCTATTCATTGACATTTGACTTGGCTCTGGTGTTTCCCCTATGCTGCAGCCCTACAGTAAGTGAACCTCCTTGTTTTCCTCTGTGCTCAGACACAGACCAATGAAAACTAACAAATAAAAGTTAATAAACGCCGTCATCTTCTAGAAAACCACAGACAATCTGTAGATTATCTATGTTTTCTATGTTTAAGCTTCAAGTATGCACAAATGCTTAAAATGCATAAAAAGTGCAAGAAACATTACAAGAAAAGGACTTTATTATTACTGTTCATCGTTTTTTGATCCCTTCTTAAACTTTTCAAACAAGGCTTAAGCCTCTATGCTAAATGAAGGAGGGAATGACTCACAATGCTTTATTTTTTGGTCTTGCACTCTGCACCATTTCTATCCCCACACACATTTTATCTTTCATTAAATGTGGCGTTAAATAAGCTCTAAACTGGCCTATTCTGCCCATGTTGGCAGTATAAAGGCCCTGCTATCCCCTCTCCATTATTCATCTGCTCAGAGTTAACAATCTATAGAAGTTTCTCTTTCTTTTATTTTAAATCTATACAGTGAAGAGATACAGATGATCTATCTGTATCTGCATGGCTCTGCTCCAGCTTCTAGCCTGCAGACACTTTGACCGCAGTCTTCCTGACCATTTGCTCTGTATGACTCACCATCTGAGGATTTTTACACAGAGAATGAAAATAAACTGCCGTTGTTTTCAGACATCAGATTACTGTAAAAAAAAAAAAAATCCTCCATTCACGTCTGAATTGAGCTTTTGTCTCTCCCAGTAAAAAGCTATTATTACAGCCACACAAAGCCTAAACACGAGAGAAACCAAACCACGCAGACTTAAATGTAGAAAAATCGAGGCCAACCACCTTCAGAGTTCGAGCACAAAAAACATAAACGTCATGAAACATTTTTTTTTTTTTAAAGATAAGGTGGTAGTGGTGCCAGGCCAGACCGAGTACTGGGAGATAACAAGAGGAATTTAAATCCCTCTGAAGAAAAATAATGAAGAACATACCACATGAAGTCTATACCACCGCTGTGCAGAGGTTTACTGTTTTCATCAGAGCATTAAAGCTGAAACTAAGTGGTTGATGGACTCATAACAACGCCCAGGTCTTCAATCCAAATACTGATTTAACAACCACAAACTGTGCTCATTGAGTATGAAATAAACCTTTCAGGTAACATAACACATCTTGGAGCAGCTAAGTTCATTCAGAGCTGCAACTAACAACTGTTTTCATTATTAATCTATCCATTTTTTTTTTATCTTGGCTAATTGTTTTGTCTATAAAATACCAACTAATTTTGAATATATGCCTTTTTACCATCCAGTTAATAGTCCCAGCCCAAACATGCTCAGTTTACTTTCATTGTAAAAAAATATAATTTATATAATAATGTATAATTTTAGTTTAATAATGTAGTCATAGTAGCATTACATTAACAGTAGCACACGTAGAGACGGTTCATACAGTCAACTGACATTTAACTTAGCTAGCTCCCGCTGTTTTGGTGTCTTGAATTGAGCAAGTTTTATTGTTTATGAATTAAACATTTCATTTATTAGAGGAATATTTCAAAAGTAACATTTAACATGAGCAGCTTGGATACATTAGCTACCAAACACAGCCATAAAATGAACAAAGTTTGGTTAATTTGACTCGTTACAGGTGTTTATTCATAGACATGGGTTATTAGCACAGGGTCATTTGTGTCACAGTAACCTAAAAAAATCTTCTTTATCAGTCATTTATATAAAACTCTCCTCTTTGTATTTTTCCCTTTTTATATCTGAACTTTAAATGTTTCACACCATTTGTTTAGCCTACAACCTAAAAACTGATAGATTTGCAGACTGAAGTAGCAAAGTGAGTTGAAGTTAACCACTTAACGACCATTTTTTACTCTTTTTTATGTCTAAAATGAACTAAAGACCTAATTTATAACACTTTCTGAGAACATATCCAGACCTATGATCCAAATTT